CAGGAATAAAACATATAACTATCCAGATACAAAGCCTGCCCTCCTTTCTCTGCTCTAAAGCATTCATATTCCATACGAGGAAGTTGATAATGCCAACACAGCCTAGGTTTCAAGCCAATTTGATGTTCTTCTTTGGTTCCATCTGTGGTTTCTGAAGTTCATGTGTTGGAAACTTAATTCCCAACACAGTGTTGGGAGGTAGGGCCTAATAAGATGTGATAAGGTCATGAAGGCACAGCCCTCTTGGATTAACGTTATCAAAGGAGTGGGTTCATTAAGGCAAGAATGAGTTTGTTATAAAAGCAAACCTTTCCCCTCTTGCTCTTCTGCCTTCTGCCGTGGGATGACAGAGCACGAAGGCCCACATCAAATGCAGCCTCTTTATCTAGGACTTCCTGGCTGCCAGAATTGTGAGCCAAGTAAATTTCTTTCCTTTATAAATTAACCAGTCTGTGGTATTCTGTCATAACAATACAAAATCAACTAAGAAAAGATGTCTGTTATCTTAGGGCTGGTTCAATCTACTTCAGAGCAGGAAACTAAGCCATCTTATCTTACTCTGCCTGTACGTGTTTCTAGTACTCTACCCGAGCACATCTACTCCAAAATTGAAAATTTTAAAGGTGATTTAAGCTTTATCAAGTTCACAACTAATAAGGCATGCCTCCCACCACTTCTCTGTCCCAATTTGAGCAGTTTAACAAGTCAATCAGATCCATCAGCTTTCCCACAGAACAGCAAAGTGCCCTCACAGATTAGTAATTCATTAGAGATTGGCTATCAATCTTTAAAATACAAATCACACACACACACACACATACACACACACAGAGGCTGGTCTCAAACTTGTGGCCTCCAGTGATTTTCCTGCCTCAGCTTCCTGAGTAGTTGGGATGACAAGCCACATAACCATTCCTGGCTTGCAAGGTGGTATCTTTATGGGACTATGAAAATGGCAGTAAAAGGGAAAGGGTAGTTCCTTTACGCTGGCAGGAAGGTTTGAGAGCCTATACTACAAAATAGTTTTCTGAATTTTATGAGGTTCCAGTTGCTATACAGCTTTGCCAAAACGTGGTATTGTCAATATTTTACACTTCAACTCAAGTCTGATAGGTGTGGAGTGCAATTACTTTGAGGATTTAAATAATATTTCTGTTTTATTTATTTTTCTTTCAAAGGTAAAGAAAGCTTTCAATAGTTCTTACTTTCAATTTTTTTTTAAAAAGTGGAATATGGAGTTCACAAGTTAAAAGATAATATTCATTTAAGAATAATTAAACTCCAAGTGCTTTATTTTAAGGTAAAAGACAATAAAAATCCAGAAATGCTTGCTATGATAACAGTGATTGGCATGTGTTATTTTTATTCTAACATAAAATACACACTAAGCCATTAATGGCCATAAGTAGTATTTCCTTACACTTTTTTTTTTTTAACTAGAGGGACCAACTTAATTTTCCTCATGTCATACAGTCAACAATTATTTTGAGAAGTTCTTAAAAACACCATGCATTGATATGCATTATAATTATCGGGTTCTTCTTCTGCATTTTTGGATATTCTGATGTTTACCGATGAACACTTACCTTTTACATATATACAATGTATTGTACACAAACAGCATATTAAAATGTGTTTTTTCTATCATTAAAAATGTACTTTTTTCTATTAAAAAGAAATTTTATGTATAGAAAATACACTTCTAGCACACATGCACACACTAAAAATCTAGTTCTAAAAATGTCCTTTAGATCTTAAAAAGTCTCAAGAGAAATGTGAAGTGTTGTCAAAGGGGAAAAAATGAGCCTCACCTGTGAACAGAAAGGGGCTTTGGCTCTGCTCTGGGGCTCAGGGTTTGCTCTGCAGGGAAGAGTTGAAAGTCAAAAGTCCTGTGCCTTCAGAGTACTTGGGAACAGAAACAAAGCCTATTTTTGTTTTAATACAAATCTGCTCTTAAAAGAAACTTTCTCTGTTATAGAGACACAAGAGTTCTATCTTCCAATAACAGCATGGGTTGGAAAATTCAGTTTCTACATGAAGGTGGGTAATCATTTAGATTGTCACTCCTTATAGACTTTATACGTACTGTGATTTTTATTTATTTATCTGGCCCTACCTGCTTTTCTGAAGTTTAGCATTTGAGTAATAAGACAGCAGGCAATGGTGGGTGTGGCAAATTATATTTTTTGAAGATGGCTAAAATAATATCAATTCACCATGTTTTTCTATAATAGGACCATGCTACTCCCCTGTTAAGATGTGGAGGTAATTCCTTTCCTTGGAGTCTGGAATGGCCTCATGAGTTGCTTGTACTAACAGAATGTAATATGCATAAAAGCTGGATGCCTTCCAAAGCTGGATCAGAAAAGGCCTCACAGCTTTACCTGACTCTCTTGGGACACCTGCTCTGGAGGAAGCCAGGTACGCAGTAAGAAGTCTGACAATTCTGGAGTCATCATTCTGAAGAGGCCATGTGTAGGAAGCTTGGTGGACAGCACCAGCTGGTTCCATCCTTTGAGCCATTACTACGAAGACACCGGGTATGTTGGAAAAGCCATCCTGGACTCTCCAGGGTAGCTCTTTTGTCAGCTGTGTAACACTGAATGACCTCAGCCAACCCCACGAGAAGTAGAATTGCCTACCTGACCCCTGACTAAATCCCAACCTACAAAATCTATAAGATGCAATAAAATAGTTGCTGCTTTTGGCCTCTAAATCTGGGGTTGTTCACGCAGAAGCAGTGGCTGGAGCAGGGTCAACTAGGGGCGATTACATGAAAGGTGAGCAGTCAGGAGCCGACATCTGAAGAAAAGGTAGGATGGAAGAAAACTAATATAAACATGTACACTATTTCCCAAAAATGGCACACCAGAGATCTTGAGAACCCTTGTATTGAAAAGCCCCAAAACAGAACAAAACAAAACAAAACAAAAAAAGGAAGACACTACAATTGATACAGAAAAGAAACAGAGATGACCAATGAAGCTAAAAGCATATCTTATACCTTCAGGAAGCATATCTTATACCTACAGAAAATCAACTCCAGGTAAATAGAAGAAATTCAAGGTGAAAAGCAAAACAATAAAGTTTTAGGGTGGTTGGTATGGCTCAAGAAGTAGAGTGCTTGCCTAGCAAGTGCAAGACTCTGAGTTCAAACCCCAATACCTCAAAAAAAAAAGTTCTAGAAAATGTGTATATGTGCATTCCATACACACACATACACACAGATATATATTTGTGATACCTGCATTTTAGATAATATATTTGTGATTTTGATATGGGAAGATTTTTTTTAAGAAACAAAATCGTAAGCATAGAGAAAATGTTTGATATATTCAACTGTATTAAAGAAACTTTACATAAAAAAATACCATAGTTGAAATGTCAGAAAATCAGAGAGGATAAATATTAATATGTAACAAATATAACTGGAATATTTGGAGAAACCCCAATAAATCAACAAGAAATGGACAACCAAAAGAAAGTGGGCAAAAGACAAGCACTTAACTGAGGCGGGATCCAAATGTCCATTTGGCATATGAAAATATGCTCCACCACTTGAATAACTTGCCTCCTTTAGGGCACATTCCTCAGCTGGTGCTCACCTTCTCATCCTCCCTTGAAGCTCTATTGTCCTTCCCAAGTTTTCCCACCAACCTACAGACTACTTCACCACGCCTCTTCCCTTTAGAGCCAAAATCCCTGGGATTGTGTTTGATCTCCATTGTCTTCACCACCACCAGACTTCCACCCATCAAGCCCTTAAACTGCCCGCTCTCCCCAGGTTACTGAACTCTTGAGGTCATCCTGACACTCCTTCCTCACTGCCTTGCTACCATCTTCTCTTTCCCACCTTGCAGACATTTCTTCTGCAATGTTCCTAAATTCTCAGTGTCTCTCTCTCTCTCTCTGTCTCTCTGCCTCCTCCCTCCCTCTCTCCCATCTGTCTCTCTTTTTCTCCATCTGTATCTTTCTCTGGCAGTGCTGGGAATTGAGCAAAGGGACTCAAGCATGCTAGGCAACTGCTCTACCACTGAGCTTCATCTCAGTCCAACCTCTTTTCCTTTTATGTCTGTGTTCCTGCCTACCTTTCATTTCTACTTATAAGCTAATGATTTCTGAATCAATATCCAGAATGTACTTGACACACAGCATATGCTTTACAAAATGAAACTTCTTATTAAAAAGTGTCAGTACTGAGTATCATTAAATACCTTGTTCTAGCATTAAGATTGGGTATGGCATGAGTTTATTTAATATAGATTTTGCTTAAAGACAAAAATTAGATCTTATCATTGGGTATATTAGGTAAGTTCTAAAGTGAAAAATTTAAAAACAAAATCTTTACCCTTAGGACCATAGTATTCAGAAGATAACAACAGTCTTCGTATCTAATGGAGTCTTCTCAATATTTAATTTTTTCTGAATTATGAGCAATGATATCAACCAGGGGTTGGCAAACCATAACCCACAGTATAAATCTGGCCTGGCCCCTGTTTTTGTAAAGTTTTATTGGAACTCATCTATTCAATTTCATATTGTCTATAGTTGCTTTCATGCTACAATGGCAGACTTGAGCAGTTAAAAAAAAGATTGTATGGCCCACAAAGGCTAAAATATTTATTCTCTGTCCATTTATAGAAAAAGTGGGCCCAGTTTCAATATAGAGCAAAGTTAATTTGTCCCTTTAAAATGGTTAAGTTGAATAAGCTATATTTTCTAAGAGTGAGGGTAAATCCTGACTATGAGAAAGCCCTCTTCATTCAGGTTTGAATGAAGGCAGGTTAAATAGTAACTAAGAACAAGTTTTCTCTGAGATTTAATTGAAAGAGCTACATTGATATTAGTAAATGCATCATTTAAGTAGTTTAATAATCAGAGGTAGGAAAGGGCTGGAACATTTGCTAAGCTCTAGACCCCGAGGATGACTAAGTGGAGGGTAAGTAGTAAGCTTTTGGAAAAGCAAAACAGTAAACACTCCAGCTAACTGGGATGCTTGCCTTGTCTGCAGGTGTTAACCTGGCCCAGGGTTTGTCCGTCCTGCGGTCATAGTCAGGAGAATCGGTGACTTCTACATACTCGTTAAATCTTAGGATCCTTCGGGCTTGGAGCTCTGCCACTGTGGGTCTCAGACTCAGCTGCAGGAGGCAGGGAGGGGAAGGCAAAGATCAGTAAACCATTCACAGCCTCGTGGTGGCAAGTTTTCTATACAGAACTCTTCAAAGTTACGCTTAAATAAGGTCACTTTCAGGTACCAAAAAAGAAAAAAAAAAAAAAAAAGGCAGTGGTCTCTTGGGAATTCGTAATGAGAACTAGAAAGCAGTGTGCCCTCGTTTTTAGACTATAAAAATCATCATTGCTAGATAGGTCACACTCTGGCAACCATCTGCATTATGCTAGTTTCCCCAATTCACCCAGGACAGAGAAAAAGGCCTGTCACGTCTGACACAGGAACACGCAGTGACTCAGGTGTGACAGTAAACCATATCCAGGATGACTGAGTTGGTGGCTGAGTGACCAAGACAAAAACTGTGAAACTTCTAGAAATGAGAATAAAAGTATCTGTTCTTATTCTACTAAACCTGTACATTCAGAAAAGTACAATGTTATGACTCAGAAGTGGTCTAGTGACAGATGAACTTTCAGCACAGACTTTCTTGAGAGAGGAAGGACCCAGGCCCCATGCTGGCATTTACCCTTGGCCAGAAGAGCCCTTGTGCAGGATAAGGAGTACAGCACGAGAAGGGAGGCTTGCTGGTGAACAGTACTTCTGATGCTTGTCATCACTGGGGTTCTTCTTATGCCTTTGTCCCATTCAAGTTTATAACTATATTGAATCTGGCCAGTCCTTTGGATATTTGCTTTCCTTTCTGGGTCCTTCCTCAAGTCCGGGAATAAGTCAAAAACAATTCTGAAAGCTGGAAGAAACCTAGCTTTCTGGTTGACAGGCATTAACTGCTCTCTGCTACTTAGGCTCCCCCTTCTTTTGGTCTCTTATCATTTGGGAGGTCCCATAGTATTTCCAGACAACCTTTTCTCACTTATATGTATCTATATCTAGCCAGACTATCTCCTCTTTGCAGTTATTTCTTATTTGTATGACTCAGGGATGGTACATTGTGCATATGCTCTGTAGTCACAAACATCCCTCTTCTTGGTCTCCTCCTGAGTAAAGCCAGATTTGAACGAGGCTCATGCTCTAACATTCACAGCATCCAGTGATGCTCAGAATTCCTGGATCCACATCTTGAGGCCCCGATGGGTTTTGGCAACTCTGTTTACTTCACAGAGCCCTGGTAGGCTATGGGCAAAGGACAGAGCAATCTAAGTGGTCTGTGAGACTTTTCTTTGCCACCAATCTATATTGTTGGTTTCTTGATGCCTCTCTGGGGCAGGTGGCAATTAATTAGAGAAAACCTTGTGCCTGAAAACAGGCCAGAAGGCAAGCCCATTGGTCAGTGACCACATGGGTCAGAAATGCACCACCCATCTTCCCCTCAGGACTGTGCCAGTAATAGGGTGCTGTATGGTTGGATAAGTGGGGGCAGGGAGAAAGGGCAGGCACTGTTGCCTCAAGGAGGGGCTCAAGTAGACCGAAAAAAGGCTCTATGGGACCCAGGAGAGAGCCCACAGTCATGAGAAGGGGATATTGCTTGTCTGCAGCTGGTAACCTAAGGGCCATCCCCCAAAATTAAGTTTACGGAGTCTTTCAGCTTAAGCATTATTTGACATTTAGAAGCTCTGAGGAAAAAAGAAATGAAGTAAGGATTTTTTCCCCACTCTGAAAAAGTTTTTTTTTCCAAATCCAGTCCATCCCTGTAAGTTTTCCATGGGAATAGAGCGTTTCCTGCTCCCGCCTTGGAATGCTTTGGCTGCAAACTCCCCAGACAGTCCTCAAAAATGTGGGTCAGGCCACACACTTCACTGTGGTGTCATATTTTAGTCACCCTGCCAGTTTCCAGGTATGAAAGGTATATCTGAAGAATTATTACAAGGGTTTGTAATGAAATATAAACTCTGCTAGTGTTTAATTTTTCCAAAGACTATTATTCTGGCTCAGAAAAAAAGTCATAGCCTTGGAACGAGATTCATATTTTCATAAATAAGTGGAAGCAATTGTCTGAGTTTGGAGGTAAGCCATTTGTCAACCTGGGGAGCAATGTAGCAGGCATGCTGGACGATCAAGCTCACTTAATAAATTACACACCCAGTTCTGATAATGGCAACCCTTCAGTAGTCACAAAACACTTATTTAATATTCCCAAGAGTAGATGGAAAGTGTGAGCCTTTTTAGAAGCTCTTTTTTAATAATGGAAATACATATATTTAAGTGTAAGTAATGGCTTTCTGAATGGAAGCTTTTCATGTGAATTTTTGGTCCTTTTTATATTTTACAAATTTTTACACAGGATATAAAAAAGCTTGATTGTTGACTTTTCAACATTAACATAACATGTAAATATAAAAGTAATTTATTTTGCATGCTTTTTTTCCTCCAGTGGTACTGGGGTTTGAACTCAGGACCTTGTATTGTACTTGCTAGGCCAGCAGGCTACACTTGAACCATGTCTATGGTTATTTAGGAGATTAATAGGAACAATTATTCCTAAGCATAACAGGCACATACGAGTGGATTTGTATTTAAAAAACCCAAAATTTATCTCAGAACACTCATTAACAATCGTAATGTTATCACCTTTCGGCTCAGTCTGCGTTTAAGTTCCATTTTTGCTTCTTGTTCTTCTTCTTCGTTCTTTTCTGTTTATTAAGGGAGGAAAGGCATAATAACTTAGTTACTAAGATAATTTTATAATCAGAAAGGTCTATTAGGCCACAATTACTTGATTCTAACAGATATTGACCACTTTACTAACATCTTTAAAAAGTTATCAAAAGATTTTGCAGAAAGATCAATTGTATACACACATGTGCTTTTTATATGTGCATACACATATGTAAGTCACTTTTCTCCTTGTAGAACTGGTTTATTTACTTTACTAGAAGCTTTTTTTGCCTCCTACCTTCTTGTTCTATTCTGCAGAAACACTGAGATGCCCATACTCTGTTGATAGCTTTCTACTGCTGACCATCTTGTGGGCTTATGAGCACAATTTACCAGAATTCAGATGAAATTTTACTTCTGGATCTGGACTTCATGTGAAAAATCTGAGACATATTAACAGAGTAAATTAGAACCATCCGATGCATGTCTAAGCTGCTGATTTCCATTCAAATCCAACCAAAATATTTGATTTGTCTTCCTTAGTTTCCATAGAAGCAGAATGTAAACATTTCTTTGAACTTGGCTTTCAAACCAGAACACTCTGAATGGGGTTATGGTGTACTGAGGGTGGAAATTATTTATTTTCTTGTGACTTTAACTTTCCAGAGTCTTCTCTTTCTATAGTGTTTCACTGTGTAATACAATTTAATGCTGTCTAATAGCCGGAATTAAAAAAAAATGCCCAGAAATTTGAAAGAAACAAATACCCTTTCAGGTTTTATTAGTTGCTTATTTGAGGAATGCGGTCGCTTCTTGTAGCTCCTCTGTTCTGTAAATGACATAGATTTTACTTCTTTATGCTTATGGAAGATTATCTTTTAGAAAATCAACTGATAGAAAAATCATATTGTAGAAGGAACCAACCAAAGGACTGCAGAAGAAAAATCTCTTCAGTGAAAAGATAATTATGGTTATTTTAAGAATTCTAATAATACAAGGGGTGTATGTGATCAAAGTACCTGATGTGCATGTTTGTAAAATATATGCCAATAAAAATTAAAAAAAAATTCAAATAGACTTTCCACTATTGAGATTATTTTTATCATAGAAAATGTTTAGTGTTTAATATTTACAACACCTGCATTTATTCATTAGGCTAAATTCTTTATAAATTGCCTTCTCTGGACAGGAAAAAATATCTGCATTCTTCTGAAACACTTTTTTTAACTCATAAGGAGGAAGATAACCAGTCTGCTTATTTATAGTGCACAGAAATTGAACTTACCTAAGGACAAGAAACACAGCAAGTGCCAGTGCCAAATAAATTTCATTATAATTCAGATTTCTTTTTTGCTTTGAGATAATGTCTCACTATGTAGCAGGCTGGCCACAAACGTATGATCCTCATGCCTCATCCTCCCTTATTGTGCTGGCACTATAGGTGTGCATCACTACACCTGGCTTCAAATTTCTTACTCTGTATGCCCTGTAGGTTTTTCTATTTGCTTCATAAAAATATGTATCTTTTCATACACTTAATATATGTAAAAAAGTTCAAATAATTACCTCATATGAATTGGATAAAGCTTGTGGATTTATCATTATATATAATAAGTAAATGTTAAATTTTGGTTCATGTGATTAAAACTAGAGCTTTACAAGGTGAGCATTTTGATGATATTAAAAATAAAAAGAAAAATATAATCCTTATAACATTTTGGTCAATTCTTTCTATGCAGCCATTATGCTACATTTTAAAGATAATTTTCAAGAAAAAATTGGATATTTAATATGTCTCAAAGCTAACACATGCTGCAATTTTCATTAGACATGCAAAATGTCATTTCTTTGAAGGGAATAGTAGTTTTGCCCTATTAAGCACAATGTATGAGTAAGGGACAGCCAGTAATGTTTCAAAAAAAGAAAGGTGGCAGGGGTTAAATGCAGAAGTTTTCACTATTTGGGGATTCTGTCTTGACATCAGGGACTGACTTCTTTACATTTCCCATGTTAGAAATTTCACTATTAAAGAAGTTAAAGAGGGAGGGTGTGAGGTGGAGGGAAGCCAGTATTTTTTGTTGTTTGTTTCCTTTGCTTTTGCTTCACTAGTAGGTAGGATATAAACCTCTCTGAGCACTTTGAATACACTGGAGGGTATTCAGGAAGGAAATGACGAGGATCACGATAAATCCCACTCTCCATGCCTTGCACTGGGCAGCCGGTGTTTCAGACAGCCACAAGAAGCAATTCCTGTGAACACACGATGTGTATGCTTTAACACCACGGACACTAAGGGAATTGGTGCTCCTGGCTAGCCAGTACTGCCCTGAGCAGTCTGTGGATGAGCTAAAAGGGCAGGAAAGAAAAATTCAGCAGCACTAGCAACTGGAATAGTATTACATTCTTCTACTTGGCAGTACTGGGATCGACCTCAGGGCTTTGTGCTTGCCGGGCAGGTGCTCTGCCATTTGACCCACGCCTCCAGCCCTTTTTTGCTTTAGCTATTTTTTGGGTAGGGTCTCAAGATTTTGTCCTGGATTGGTCTTGGACTGATCTTCCCACCCTATGTTTTCTAAGTAGTTATGATTACAGGCATGCTCCACCATGCCTGGTCATGCCATATATATATTTTTTAATTTTTTAAATCTTTTTGCTGTTCTACATTTCCATGTGAGTGTTTTAAACAAGAGTAAACACATGTATAAACTCTGATATATATGTCACATCCATATTATATATAAAACAAGATGTCAGCAGTAGAATATAGATGGCAAATACATGAGTGTTGTTATAAAATTTCTTCAACTTTTCAGTATGTTAAAAAAAACTTCAAGCGTAGTATGGTAGCACACACCTGTAATCCAGGTACTAAGGAGGCTGGAGCAGGAGGACCATGAGTCTAAGGCTAGCCTGGGCTACATAGCGAGATGCCCAATGGCCTAACTCATTTTTCTGCATGGAAAGTGTAGCTGGAATGAGATAGTAAGAGGACCTGGATCTTTTCTGAATCCCTGACATGGAAAAGGTGTTCCATGTATACCTCTTTTCCTCATCAGCAAAAGCTGACATTTCAAGCAGGAAAAGTTGCTTTTTTGTTGTTGTTGTTCTCATTTTTAAGGAACTAAAATGTATAATCAAATATAACTTAATGTACATGTATTTGTGAAAAACACTTGTGTCACCAAAATAGGAAAGAAATCAAGTAAGGAGTGATATGAATTATGACACTAAGGACTGAATCTGTCCTGTGGTCTCTCATGAGAGCTATCAGCATTTCCTGTCATCTAAGTCATATTTATCACAGGAGCGATGGGTTGTGATTTGAGAACTGTTGATTGTTCATGCTGGGAGTCAGTTTCCTAGCCTATCAAGAAAAGATGACCTAGTTAAAATGTGTCCTTAAAAATCAAACCATATCACATAGATTTTTCCTCAAATAGACATGTATTTTGCTTTTGCACAGAGCTGGAGATGAAACATACAAAGGAACAAAAGCAATCTATGTGGAGGAATTCAGAAGCAGAATGAAGTGTTCCCTGTGCTGCTCGGTAGGACGCTTGGGAAATCAGGAGGAGTCTTCACCAGTTCTCCTCTGCTTCCCTTGGCCAGGCGATCGTGTGTCAGGAGATCATAAGCCAGTTATCAGCCTGTCCAGACTAGAAATATGGCTCTTGTTTCCAGAATCAACATGAACTTAGAAGGAAGTTAAAAAAAAAAAAAAGGGCTGAAGTCAAATCTGAAGTTGACTTTGGTGTTTCACTCTTTCCCGAACCTCCAGGAAAACAGAGAGCACAAAAGCCAACACAGCACTTAAGATCAACATGCAATAAATTTCCGAATCCATAAAACAGTTCCTCAAATAACTAAACTCCACTGTGGTTTGGCACATTCGCTTCATAGGAGCAGCACAGAATTATCCAGAATTTGCTCTGCCTTCCCCCCACTGCCCCAGGTTGCATCAGACATCCAATAAGACATAATCTCTGTGTGTTAGGAGTTTAGTCTGCATTTGAGCTTTCTTAAAATTGAATTAAACAACTATCTCCCAGGAACCTGTCATTGAAGGCAAGGAGGCCTTTTGGGTTTTGTTATCAAAATGAGATGCTCCTTCACTCTCTCTCAGAAAAGCTAAAACAAAAATTTATCTTTCTTTTCTAGACACAAAGTTTTTCCTCTCAAACTGGCACTTCTCCACATGGATAGGCACTTACTTCCCTTCTCGAGTTCTATTCTGGTATGTTCCCAAACAGCCAGACAAAAAGCGTTGCAAGGACAAAGATCCCATAGACTGGGTGGATGGATTCCTTTCACTTCATTGTTGGTTATTTCAGTTATGGCAACTGTAGTACAAAAACACTCCGAAAATCTTTCTTTCCTTCAGGAAAGAAAATAACTCAGCTTGGATAGCTGGGGTCATCCAGCAGGTCAACTGAGCTCTGCCTGGTTGAAAAGAAGTTCCCCCGTGTGTGTGGCCCATTACTACTACTTCTCTCCTCACTCTGCTTGTTCCTGTTCTTTGAGAGTTCGTGTAATAAAAAGCTCTTTGAAACTGGATTAATATATAGAACAAAAGTTAAGCTTCACTTAAAAATGTCCATTTCCTAACTCACTGAAGTTAGTCACCACATGGATACACAATAACAGGACAAACTGGGCTTTTATTAGGATTTCATATACTAATTCCTCAAAGAGACTAGAAGGAAAAACAGAATGGAAAAATAGAGTAGAAAAATGAATGGAGAACCCTTTAAGCACTGAAAAACTATAAATAATGAGTCATTTGTTAAACCTAGCAACTAACTTTGTTATTAATAATAATATAGGAATGTTTAATTTATTTCTTGGTGGATTCTTTGATCTTTTCTTTGATAGGCATTTCTTTAATATTCTCCTTAATATTTAGGTGAAAGACTGCATGGAATATATTTCATCTTTCTCAAAAACAATTGCTACATAACTCCAGTCTGAGGGATAACAGGCTCAAAATCAAAAAGTCAAATGTAAAATTCAAGATTTTTTTTTGTGGTACTGAGGTTTGAACTCAGACCTCACGCTTGCGAGCAGGTGCTAAGCCACTCTGCCAGCCCTAAAGAAATAAATTTTTAAATATATAAACAATTACATATAGGCAGCATAAATGGGCCATGTCTGTGAGTTGTGAATGATACATGGACTACTTCTGAGGTAGCATGTTTGTGGTCACTTGGGGATCGTTGAGTACAGGATACTTACGTTTTAGGATATTTCTTTGTTCTAATTCTTCAGTGGTAGGCCTCTGGCTGAGTCTCCTGTGATGTGAGAGAGAAAATGCTATAGGTTACAAATGGAGTTCCTTTAGTGGGAGACACAAGATAAAGCAACAGAGCTAGACTTGTCAAGTTTTGAGAAATCAAAATCCATTTTTAAACTGACAAGGTAAAGTTCTTTCTTTCAGTTTGGAGATCCAGATGGTGGCCAACTCTCCTCACTCTCCATTCTTCCTCTTAGAAAGAGAACTGATTGGGTGTCAGAGAGGAACGTGGCTGGGTACCTCAGCCTCCCTAACGGCCAGGCGTGGTAACGAGGTGTTTTTACAATGGGGAATGAGCAAAGTGAGGTTTATAACTTCCAATTTTACCCTTAGAAATGACTGTCTGTGCATTCCCTTCATTCTCCTCTCTCTCTCTCTCTCTGTCCCTCTCTGTCTCTCTCTGTCTCTCCCTCCCTCTTTCCTTCCTTTTTTCCTCCCTCTCTCTGGTAATTCTGGGGTTTGAACTCAGGGTCTTATGCTTGGTACGTTTTCTACCACATGACTCACCCTAAGCCCTTTTTTCCCTTTCATTCTTTCATAGGCAGGAGCTTAGACCTGATGGTGGGAGATAGCATTGATCATGCAGATAAGACTGTCCAAGAGCACAGAAGGGTAAAGAGACAGGAGGAACCTGGGTGCTAGGCAAGAACTGGGCTTCCCACCCTTGCTGGGTGGCTCAGCTAGACTGTAAAGTGAACAAGAAAGAAACGCACCTTGTCTGAACCACTGTGTGTTTGGTGTGTTACAGCAATTTAGCTGATAGTCTAATAAATCTACAGGTCACTTGAGTCAATCAGTTAAAGTGTTCACACCAGTTTGGGAGTTGCACAGTCTCCACTGCACAGTGTTTTAAGTGATACTCTACGGTAGGAGCACAAATGAACATGCTACGTATAAATTTATCTTCAGATGTGTTATTCCTTCTCCTCTGCCTTTAAGATAAACCAGGCCCATCTGGGATTAGAGGTTATCTACTTGTACATGGGAACAGAATGTCCTAATAACTCCTTATTAACTTTGTTCTCAGTCTTGTTTACATGACTTAATCATACTGAAAAACTTACTAAAGATATAGAATGAATTTGTGCAAATCAGACTAATATACACAAATGGTGATCTTAATGTAAGATACTACCAATTCTAGCTGGGCGCTGGTGGCTTATGCCTGGAATTCTAGTTACTTGGGAGGCTGAGATCAGGAGGACTGAGGTTTTAGGACAGCAAAAAAAAGTTTGTGAAACTGCATCTCAGTAGAAAAAGCTGGGTGTGGTGGTACATCCTGTCATCCCAGCCGCCATGGCAAGCATAGGAGGACTGTGGTCCAAGATGGAATGGGCAAAAAAGCAAGACCCTATTTCAAGAATAACCAAAGTAAAAAGGCTGGAAGCATGGCAAATGTGAGTTCAAACTCCAGTACCACCAAAAAAAGAGATGATAACTACCAACTGTAAATGTGACTATGACAGAAATGATACGAAAGACTGAAATTAATAATCAATTACATATATATAGGACTGGGGTTTGAACTCATGACTTTGTACTTGCAAAGCAGGTGCTCTACTGCTTGAGCCACACCTCCAGTCCATTTTTCTCTGGTTATTTTGGAGATGGGGGTCTTGTGAACTATTTTTCCAGGCTGGCCTTAAACTGGGGTCCTCCTGATCTCAGCCTCCCAAGTAGCTAGGATTACAGGTGTGAGCAACTGAGCTACCTTGAAAATTAACTTGAGTGACTGAGCATCTCTGTCTCTGCCAGCCAGATTCTGCCACATGTGTCCACCCGACTCTGTCTTGTACTCCATGGTTGTACTGCCAATGTAGCACTCGTCTTTTATTTATGCAGCTTCCTCCTTCCGGGACGTCTTCCTTTCCTTCCCTACCTACTGAAATCCTACAAATGATTAAAATGGTTCCTTGAAAGTTGGTGTTGGAGCTCTTCTGTGATAAGGAGAGTCCCCGGGTTCTCTGCCCATATACAATGGTTACACAAGCCTGTAACAGCTATGGAAGCACTTACAATTCTAGGTAGTTATAAAAATGATCACAGTTACAAAGTTTTATTTCTACTTTTAAAGTCCCAGGTACTGTGCTAGGTGCCTAACTTCATTATCTGGAATTTTCAAAGCAATTCGGCAAGATAGCCCCGAGGTCTATCTTGTTAATTAACTTGTCTAAGAAAAAACACTAGGGAATGCTGGACCCAGGTTTCTCACCTATGTCCTTGGACTTGGATGTCTGTTTCCTAAGGCTGGACCTGTGGTTGAGTTATCTTTGAATGACAGGAATTAGACAAGCTGTATTTGTTGAAAAGCAATTCTGTAAAATTTACATATTAGCAGCAATATAGTGAAATGTTGTGTAGACACAGACTATGTGTGTCTTTACAAAGCCTTTCAGTGGAGTTCTAACCCCACCCTGCCAAATGAACCCCTCCAGTTCTCTGCTCCCGTGGAAGCCTGGGTCTCACCTCAAGTCCTTGACAAAGAAGTTAGGAAACTGATGTTCTCTGGGAGTCCACACTATCAATTTTTGCCCCTTCTTCAATTTTTCTCAATCTTTGAGCATTTGGTTTAGTTTAATTTGTCATTGCTATAAATAGCCTTGCGATAAACATTTTTTGTAAAGCATGTTTCTTTTTAAAAAAAAAAATCCCCTTGGACCATTCATTTCCTTCTTCTATATATCCCCCAAATGGAATCATGACGCAAACAAACAGATTGCTTGATAATTCTAACCCATGGTGAAACTGTTCTTCAGAAATTCTGAGCAAGAACAATGGATATGTGCCCTACCTTTCCAAAAACTTGCCAGCATTGGGTTTAATTTTTAAATGTGTTTTAATAGATATATAATAATCTAAGTTAATAGTAAGAAGCATTTAATTTTATTGAGTGCTTGCTATGATCTAGGAACTAAAGTGCCTTAAACATATCATCTTACCTCTAAACTTTGGGGATGGTTAGTTCCACTTTACAAGTGGGGCCAAGTGGCAGCTTTCTTCCAAACTTGCTGCCAAGGGTCCCTCATCCTGTCTGGGTGGATGATTTACTTTAGCTCACATTGGAAGAGGTGACATTTATTTCCGTTTGGCTTCATTTTACAGAATTAATACATTATTCGTGCTCTGATTTTATAAAGTACAGCTATTATCCTTCAAATTTCATGCTTTCCACATGTCTGATAAACCTGTCTGCTGAATTTTCCTCACTGATAAAAATGTTTACTCCATCTCCCATCATTCCTTCCTTCCACTATGGTTTCATGGAAATAGATTTTGGGGCCTCAGGGTAGATGAATAGTTGAGTATTTAAAGGGTGCATGTTGCTACTATTACAGATGCAATCTCCGTTAGCCCTGGTATTCTCCTACTATGATTTCATGATAATATTAATACGATGCTGATTTTTATAGATTAATCTTACACTTGTGAAACTGCTTAAATTATTATGTGGCAATTTTGGTCAGTTTTTCAGAGTTCTCTAGGTATATAACTAAGAATAACCATAGTAATACTTTCCTATAATTTATACCTTTTTTCACTGTAAATAATTGAGACTAGACTTTTAGTATAAAAGGTGTGGTGAATCTTTATTCATTTTTTAGTTTTAGAACTTTTTAGGGTTGCTCCATGTCCTAAAATATTTAGCATAAGAAAAAACCTGTACTTCTGATTTGGTTAGAATTTTAGCAAAAAAAAAAAAATTTTCCTCAATGCTACGTTGACATTTCTTGAGATAGATATACGATACTTCACTCTTTCACCCCTGACCATGATGAAATATAATTATATTCTTTATTTTGAAGGAATACACCCTATTTTGTCATTATTATTATTAATTATTGTTGGTTGCATTGGGTTTGAACTCAGGGCCTTGTGCTTGCTAAGCAAGCACTCTACCATTTGAGCCACAATCCCATCACTTTTTGCTTTAGTTATTTTTCTGATAGAGCTCAAGTTTTTAAGTAAGGCCAGTCTTGGACTATGATCCTCCTATTTATGCTCCTATGTAGTTTGGGATTATAGTTGTGTACCGTCACACCTGGCTTATGGATTGAGATGGGGTTTCACTAAATTTTTGCCTAGGCTGGCCTTGAACCATGATCCCTTCAATCTTCACCACCTGAGTAGATGACATTACAGATGCACACCACTGCACTCAGTGCAAAACATAAACAACAAAAATAAAACAATAAAAATACCCCAATAAGCACATAATCTGTTATATGGTGTAAAAAGTATAAGTTAGGAGATGGTATTCAAAAAAGAAGACTGGGCAGAGAGCCTGGAAATAGAAACTCCAACCTGGTTCTGCTACTAAGGAATAGTGTGTGCTTCAGAAATTTCCCTAATCTCTCTGAGCCTCAGAGAGGCCCCCATTTTCACTTGGTAAAAAGATAGGTTTGACATTTGACATGACAACAGGTCTTTCCAGCTCCATCCTGTAAATCACCTTAGTTTCTTTTACCTCCACTAGCTCTGTCCTGAAGTAGGAAATGATCAGAGTTCAGGGCTGAGAGAAAGAAACTACTGGTAAACTTCTTGAAACTCCATCTGGAGTCCTTGGGAGAGTTCTAGAACATGGGTCATCCAGGTCTCTCTGGAGATTTCATAGGAGACTGAGCCTTCCCTTCAGACAGAAGCCACAGCTACAGTCTCTGAAGTCTTCCTCCATGGTTCACCATAGAGAGGCCCTTAGAGGCAGGGCTTCTCTCCTGTGGGAGAACAGCCAATGGCTTTAGGAAGCCCTGAGGCTCACCCTCCAGTTATGTCCTGGTCATGCAAACCTTCCACTTCCAAGCAAGGGCTGTCATTTCCTCCCATCTCCATAGCCTGCTCTGATATTCCAGACTGTTCCCTTCTCCAAATTATGCACCCTGGGGGGTATGCAGAGTGAGAGAAGCCAGCAGAAAAACTGGTAATTTAAATGCATCTAAACGGATCATCAAAAATGCGAGCTTTGGTGCAAAAGAATTCACTTCTATGAAAACTGTCAGTTAAATGACTTCTACAGTCATATGTGGCAAAAGCAGAGATCCCACCCAATGGCAGGAGGCAGAAAGCAATTCTTGACTCAGCCCTTTGAAGCTAGAGGGGAAGTCTGGATGCGGGATTATGATTATCTGACTATGATAAATGCAGGCCACTGAGGCAAACTAGTGTTTCTACAGTGTCACAGCCCACAGGGCTATGACAGCACTATAGTCCACAGGCCAATCCTGCATCTCACACTCTATAGTAAATAGATTTTATTGGAACACAGCCACACTCAATTTTTTATACATTAGTTATATCTATTTTCAACTATAACCACACACTGAGTAGATGCAATAGAGATAATGTGGCCAGCAAAGCCTAAAATATTCACCAACCAGTCCTTTGTAGAAAAAAGATTGTTGACCCTTGAGTTAGGCTTCGGTGACCTCAAAACCACTGGCTGAAAGTGGTAGCCAGAAAGGGTAGGTCATATGAGTGGTTCACCACCCAAGACCAACTTTAAAAGACGTGATGACCAAGTGTGCCTGTACACAAGGAATTCACAATGACTCCAGATGGCTACAGGTGTGAATGACTTTAGGAAGGAACAGATGTGAATCAGTCAGTGCTACACAGAAATGTCAGCAATTACCTGACCAACTTGGTTCCAATTTGTTGTCGGATTTCCTGCCTCTCTTCTTCTGATGTACGCTGAAGGATGTTTTTATCCTCTAATTCTTTCTTAGATGGTCTGTTGCCAAGTTTGATAGCAAGAGTATCTCTTCGTCGTATCTTACTTGCCAAAGCACCTGAGGATTGAGAAAAGGCAGAAATGCAGATAAAGCAGCTTTCAGCTAGTTCTGCCTGGGTTACACTGACAAGGACTTGACAGGGGCCAAGGCCAAATTCTTTACCCACAGGCAAGAGGGGAATCTTAATTAACCCAAGGAAAAAAAAGATTTTGAGTTGGATATAGTTCATTCTGAAAAGACTAAAGAACAGTTTTTTTTTTTTTTTTTTTTAATGTTCTGAGCAAATACTGAGGCACCATGAAATATCTTGGAAGTATCTTGGAAGTATTTGGAAGGAGATGGAGTTTGTTTTGCTGATATGTTAGACAACGGAAATTAGTAATTGCACAATGCTTTTTCTTTCCTTTTCAAGTTTAAAAATCTGATCCTTTTCCTTATTCTGTACAGTTAATCCTTGTCATCTTCTTTCCTCTATTCAGACGCCATGCTGGCAAAGAGTCTACCATGTGTACGGATGCCTTAACCCTCCGTGACCCAGGATCCTTAAAAACCTCAGCAGATGATGATAGCTCATACCAGATGGTAATAATTTTTTTTTTTTGCTCTGTACAAATTGGGGAGAATTTGACAAACTTCTGTTTAGTCATTTAATACAGTAGTAACTTTTTATAACCTATCAATTCAATCCCCCAGGGAATGCCTCCCAAGTTATTCTGCTCAGAGGTTAAAAAAATAGTAAGAGCACATTCTAGTTCTTTAAGTTGTATGTACATGGTAGCCTTTTCTCCACTTTATTATCATTGCTTCCCAGGAGGCATGCTATCTTACCTATTGTGGTTTAGTGGTTATTTTTAATTCTAAAAAGGCATTTATCATTTTTGACTCATTACTCCCTCCTCTTTCTTTAACTTCCAGTGAGCAAGCCAATGACTCCTGTATTGATACTTTTTTCAAGAGCTGTCCAGGGTGGAAGAGCCATCTCTGATTTTCCTGAGAAAGGTCTTTGTCATTGGAAAGCTTTGATTCTTTGGATAAATACAAATTTGTACATCTACCTCACTGATGAAGGCCTGATCCACCTCTGTGGTATCATCTTCCCAAAAGGCCTGCCATCCATCACAAGCTAAACTTTAGGGTAGCCATATAGAGAAAGGAAGATGAAGGGCAGGAAAACATCACTTGTCTGGTTTCTAATGAGACTTTTACTCTTGACAGCATGTAGCTGCCTCTGTCCACCACCCACTCTCCTCTGTATCTCTTGAAAACTGTCTTACTTTCTCCGCTGCCATCTTCATCCTCATCTTCTTCTTCATCATCATCTGTGTACAAGATGGGCCCATCTGAGTCAGAGTCAGTGGCCTGGTACTCCCTTGGGCCTTCATCTTCTGGGGTACTGAAGGATTCTGAAGATTCTCCCATCGGCCCAGGAGTCATCAGTTGAGGTCCTGTCTTCCCCAGCTCATCTTTGGTCGTAAAACTGTTAAGGACATACAAATACAGACTGATGCAAAAGTCAAAGCAACCCTAGGAGACACCAACCCCATAAAAACAGCCCTAGTGCCATGGACATCCTTCAGACTGGAGGAGGGAGAAATCAGACCTACAGCCAACGTCACTGTGACATGGAAGAGCAGAGCTGTGTTCACGGTTTTACATTCTTCATCTGTAAAAAATGCAAAGGCTTCACTAAATGGTGTCTAATCTGTTTAGTAAACGAACACTGTAAAACTATATTTTGCAATTTATTTTTCCATAGCGATGAGGGTGCAGTGCAAAGAACAATGGGCTTTCAGAAGCTCTCAGGTTTTTCACTTTGTCTGTGTTTAACTTTTAAGCTTAATTAGGTGCCTCAGCTCCTTCAGAAATCTTGAGGCCTTCAGTTGAGCTTCTTGCCCACTCATCTGCTCCCATGTGACCTGAAGGCATCATCAGAACTCTTAGTGGTCTGCCCCTGTGACCACCCCGGACTTGTCTGCCTTCTGAACTCTCACAAGGCCCTTGACAAGTGGAACTGACACTGTTTTGTATTCCAGCATCCAGAAGGGTAGCTGCATAGAAAAAGTACATCTTTCATTAATATATGAACAAATCCCATTTGACCAAGCTTGTCAATTTTCAAAGACTAGAATAAAAAATATACCTGACATCAAAACCATTTCATATTGAAATAATGGAATCATCATTTTAAGATAGAGAGGATCCCCCAATTGCTTTCTAATATTTGGATGTCATACTTCTGAAAGACTAATTAGTGGAAAGCATGTGTCTATTGTTCTCACTGACTTAAAAAGAAACTCAACTGTCAGTAGCTCCCCGCTCCCAAACTCTGAATAACGAATACAGATGAAGTTTGTCAGAATACGATGTGTTTTAAAATTCTACCTTGTGGTTGCAAAATAGGACTTTACAAGCCTAAGCACACAAGGCTCTCTATTTTTCACTTAGAAAAGTCCAGCAGCCTCAATTCTTATTCTAAAAGGGATATAAGAAATCTCATTTTTATTGTGTAAAATAAAATTTGCTGCTTTAACCACTTTAAGTGTACAGTTTAGTGGCACAGGAAGCATTCATCTTGTGTGACCATCACCACTGTCCACCTCCAGAACCTTTCATCTTCCCAAATTAAAACTCTGTTCCTATTAAACAGCAACTTCCCATTCTTTCTAGACTCAGCCCTTAGCAACTGCCATTCTACTTTCTGTCTCTGTGAATCTATTTTAGGTACTTCATATAAGTGAAATTACATAGTATTTGTCCTTTTGTGTTTAATTAGCGTAATGTCATGGTTGAACCTTTCATGGCATAGTGTGTGCCAGAATTTCCTTTTGTTCTGGATGATATTCCTATATATATGTGTATATACATATATATGTGTGTGTACAAACCGTACACTTACATATGTACATATACACATACACATTTGTTTATCCATTCATCAGTTAATGGACATTTGGGGTGCTTCCACCTTTTGCTATTATTCAATGCTGCTATGAATGCTGGTGCTCAGACTGGCCTTGAACTCTCAATCCTCCTGCCTTGGCCTCCTGATGCAGGGATTACAGCTGTGTATCACCATGCTAGGTAGAGAAGACTTTTTTAATTAATAAAATTTTAATTAATCTTTAAAGACACTAAGAACTAATGGTACTAAAAGTAAGGAAAATATATACATTAAGTTCAAAACAACGCCACCTTCTTCTATATTAAAAATATACTATTAACTACCTTATGTTTTTTTGCAAAAATATGGCATGAAAGACTTATTTGTACAGGAAAACTTTTCCATAGTCTGGATACTTAGTTGATTGCCACTGGAAGCTAATCTTGTTTGAACAGACTGCCATTATTGGTAACCACGGCATGTTTAAAAGATATGGCAATTAATTATATCTTCTGGATAGAGCAGAACAAAAGTCACTTGAGAGATGAGTTCTACTGTTGGTGCCATTGTGCACTGATTTGTGATACTGAGTGCTATTTTAACCTCATTATTTGTATTTTATAATATTTTGCAGTTTGCAAAGAATTCAGCATACATTTACAACTTACACTTGTTCAACACTCTAGGGTAGATATATGTCTAGTTCATGGACCAACAAAATGCCATGGGTAAGATTCCCAACTAAGGAAGTAAGTCCAATCTAGAATCTAGATTAAAGGCTAAATGTTACATACTAAATGCTACATTTTCATTCAATACTTATTAAGAGTTATATTCATGTTGTAAGTTGTACTCAATATTAAATATACTTCAAATTTGTATCAGTCAACTCATGTCTAGGCTCTCAGTTTTTCTCCCTAGGTTCCTGGACACGATGGACGCCATCGTACATTCCATAGTGCTTTAGAATGACTGACCAAGCCACCTTTGGAGAAAGCCTGAAAATGGGCTGATTACTTTCCATCTCACATTACACCAGACATGTGTGTTATAGATAAAGTACCGATGAACAGAAACTTACCAAATCATTCATTAGCACTAGCAATATGGAAAATTGAGGTAGGTAATTTTATACATACCCATTGCCCTCTTTAAAGTTTTGGCATTTGTATTCCAAACAGAAGTCTTTTCATAAAACAACAGGGTTTTCACACATCAGGTAACTAAATTTAACTCAGGGAGCGTTCTAAGTAAAGCAAGTGACTAAGAACCAAAAATTCTAATTTAAATATCCACTTGAAAGAGGAAGAAAGAATTTGGAAGAAAATTTGAGAGATTTCTTATTCCAGGTTCATTAATTCAAGAGCAAACAGGAACTACCACTGGAAGATGAGTTATAGTTTTAATTTTGAAAATATGCAGAGAAGAAACCCTCTATGAGTTCTTCTAGGAAGGTATCAGAGTTCCCCTGACTGACAGCAAAATCCATCACAAATACCCTCAAGGACTGATGGGTGTCCGAAGCTTCCTCCTTCTGAGTAGTCAGTGGAAATGGAAAACTCGTGTTTACCTTTTAGTCTGACAGGTCTTTGCACACTTGGGCTGACTGGAGATATTAAATCCCCAGTCTGGTGCTCAGAATAATAAAGTCATTCCCTAAAGGTTTGTGAGAGTGAACTGGGCAGAGCCAGGTCACCTTTAGATCTAGTCTCTCTGAATACTTAGGTCTACCTAAAGCACTTTGTTCTTCAGTGTATTGAACAATATAACCATATACTCAGTCTATTACCCAAAATTTGGATGCTGTCTTAAATGCATATACTTCTTGGGCATACTGGCCAGTATTTAGTAAAAACGACTCTGAACTATTTTGTCTTGCTCACTTCAGGATCTCTGACGTTAGTATATCACCCAGCACAGAGAAGGCAAGTCAAAAATACATGTTGAAAAAAAAATGCTCAGTTTTAAGGTTGGAAGCCATTGCAATGCTGAAAAATACTACAATTAAAGGAAGACTTTTCTATGTGATAGATAAGGAAAACTGCTAGGGATTAAATGTTTTCCCCAGAATTCACATTTTGAAAACTTCATGTCTAATGCAACAGCACTGAAGGATGAGGAGTAATGGTGTGTGTTTAGATTGTGAGGATAAAGCCCTGACGAACACGTGAACATTTTTAAAAGGGTTTGGGGAGAGGGTTAGCTCCCTTCGACTCCTGGCCTTGCCACCTTCTGCCACACAGTGATTACAGCAAGTCCCTCACCAAATTCTGGAGCCTTGATTTTGAACTTCCCAGCCTCCAGAACTATGAGTCAATACATTTCTTTTCTTTCTTTCTTTTTTTTTTTTTCAAGTACTGCAGTTTGAACTCAGGGCTCATGCTTGCTAGGTAGGCACTCTGTCACTTGAGACACATACCTCCAGTTCTGTTTGCTCTGGTTATTTTTGAGATAGGGTCTTGCTTTTTACCCAGGCCAGCTTGCACCGTGATCCTCTTATTTTAGGCTTCCTGCTTTAGCTGGAATGCCATCATACTCAGTTTTTTTTTCCATTGAGATGGGGTCTTGCAAACTTTTTGGCCAAGCTGGCCTGGAACTGTGGTCCTCCAGATCTCATCCTCCTACATAGGTTGGGAGGACAGGTGCACCACAGCATCCAGCTATTGGTTAAGATAGGGTCTCACGATCTTCCTGCCCAGCTAGCTTTTAACTTTGATCTTCCCAGTCTCAGCCTCCCAAGTAGCTAGAATTACAGGCATGAATCACCAGTGCCTGCTGTGAGTCAATAAATTCCTGCTCATTATAAATGATCTTGTCACAGTATTCTGTTATAGCAGCACAAAGCACTAATACAGATGTCATAACCATTCATTTCAATACCATCTTTCTCCTGTATCTTTTATTAAAATGCCAAATAAATTTTTACTTTGACATTTATTTATCTTTCTTTAGCTTTTCTTCAAATGACACTGCTCAAAATGATGAAGAAATAGGAAAGTATTGGAAAGGAAATAGCAGTAAAGTAGGGGCAATTATTTGGGGAGACTTAGGACACTATTTGAAGCCTGAGATTCAGTGTGCAGTGCTAGGTTTGCCTCTGCTCACTGGGTAATCCTGTACAAACTACCTTGCTTAATACCAGTTTTCTTACTCATAAGGTAAGGATACTTCGGGGAAGATTTATGTGAATTAAATGATAATGAATGTACAGTACCTGTTCCTGACATTAAATAAGTATTCAATAAATGAAGGTTATTATTATCAGCAACTAAGTAATTAAAGTTGATATTTTAGTGTCTTGATCAAAACCAACCTAATTAGTGTAGTAATTTTTAAAAACTCTAACATGACAAAAGATTTTATGAAAGAGAGCCCATTACAACATTTGAAGATGGAATGCAAGTTCTTTTCTTAGAAACAAGAGAGAAGAGGCTGGTTTAAGGGCTCCAAGCCTTCTGTAGACAGAATTGAGAATTGCATTATACTCTGATAGCTCTTCTGTCCCTTCATACCTGTGGGACAGAAGGTCTACCTATCTTATTTAGCTTTCAATGGAATATTAATAGGACTTTGTGAGTGCAAAGAATTTAGGATGAGGATCCTAGGATAAGCCCCAGGTTTCTAGATTGGGCAACTGGATGATGGTGGGGCAACAAAGAGCAACATCAAGTTCCTTGGCTTGTTTTGTCTGGTTACCTTCTTCAACAAAACTAAGACTACTTGTCTACTATCCTTTATCTTCTGTTGTAATTTATTTATAAAATCTAATACTAGCAACATCTCACCTTCAAAATTGCTTCCATTATATAGAAGTAGGCTGACTTTCCCTATAATTACCTTGGGCCACATTTTCATTTTATTAACATCCACTGAGTGCCTACAACATACTAGAGTCTATACTTGTTGCTGGGGAAATACAGGTAAATAAAACATGTTTTCTAGTTCTGCTCCACATGTTGGAGAAAAGAGGTTCTCAATAATAACCAATTCTGCCTAGAAGTATTGGAAAGCTTCACAGAGAAGAGGAAATTTGGGCTGGGTGAGGAATTAAAAGGAGCAAAAATTGGGGACCACTCTATTGTTGGAGGAAAAGAAGCTGGAATTTTAACGAGATTTTCCCTGATGGTCTTAATTTCTCTGGGAGAAGGCTATCTATCTTGTTGAAATGAAGATGGGCAGGAACAGGGGAGAAATCTGGATCCGAGTGATATAGATTTAAAATAAGCACTATAAGGAAAAAGAAAGAAACTGTCTAGGCATAAGAAAAGAGGCTACTGAGCCATGCTGACACAGGCTCTAGATGTCCTTGGAAGCCTCAGATCTGGAGTGGTTGTCACTAATCAATGTGATTTTCTCCATAATCCATGCAATCCCCAGGCAGGGCTAAGAAAAACCAATGGCTGGACTCGTGCCATGTGTGTCTACCTTATACTCAGCAGATTACATGTAGAAGAGAGCAGACAGGTTCCCTCATCCATACAGAATTCTTTAGTGATCTTTGGTATTCAGATGGAAAATGGGTTTTGGGCCCGACTCACCATTTTGCATTTTCTCTGCTAACACTTAAGCCAGTGCCTGAATAGAGAGTGGTTCTGTTCGTTGGTTCTTCAGTCCAAAGGAGCTGACTTGGGTCTAAGGCAGAGATGGGCAGGTCAGCTCCATTGCTGACCAAGACCACAGGAGTGTCTGAGGCAATAATGCACTGCTCCTCAAGAGGCAGAGGAAGGTCTGGGGGGGAAGGTGAACGAGCCACTGGGGGTAGAGGGACTGTGGCCTTGGATTTGCCTGTGTTCTGCTCCTCAGCCCCAGAGACAGTCTGTTCAGGTTGGAAACTCTCCACTCCAGGCTCCGAAGTTTCTCCCTTAAGATCAGATGGGCCAGAAGCAGTGGTCTCTGAAGACAGTCGAGATGTCGCTGGCTGCTTGCTAGTTTTTTTCTTGCCCTTGGTGGTCCCCACTGTCCCTGTTTTGCTAGCAACTGTTTCCTTGGAGGCTTTGGGACGAGAAGAGGTGGATGCAGTTGATGGCGAAGCTGATGCTTTGGAGCCAGTAGGTTTTTTCAAATGAGAAGAACCAGCTAAAATAGAGAGATTTTGTATTAAAAATCAAGGAATACAATTCTTTTAAAATAAAGTGACCAAGTGGCAATGGCCAATGACATTTAAAATGCTCCTCTAAAATTTGTTGGATCAACGAGTGGAAGAAAATGGACTAATGATGATAATAGTCTAGTTTTTTGCCCCTTCCCTGCCTCTAATTGAGAGAGCAAGTGACACGTACAGCAAAACTAAGGGACAAGAGGCCCTTTCTTCTGTCTCTTCTAGTCTTTTTCTAGGACAGCCAAAGGAGAAATTCTCAGGCTTACCTGAAAAAGCCCTTATGGATTCTGAAGAACAGACATTGTGGGGTGAAGAGGCTAACTACCAGCAGTAAGCTGGGTTTAGAGTACACAGGCTCTCTATAGATGGTATGTGTTCTATGATGTCTTTCTAGGAATGGAGCCATGGCCCATATTCAGAAGAAGCAGGGTCATATACCACCAGTTTCTTCCTGAGTCAAATGCAAATTTGCTCATCCCACTGTTAAATTAAGAGTAAAGTCCCACCCAGCTGTTCCCATAGCTTCAGGAAAGGATGGCTGGCCTGCTGGCCTGTGCCTCCACCTGCAGTGACAATGCACCAGGGTGAAAATGCACAGCTGAAGAGGGGACAGGTCCATTCAAAACACCAAAAAGGAGGAAAACAATTTTTTTTTTTACAAAAAGTATTTATGTGCATGTGAATAGTTTGCAGGGAAAGAATATTACTCCCCAAACTTCAAGTGGGTTTTTTGTTGTTCTTTGTTTTAGACAGGGTTCCACTATGTTGACCAGGCTGGTCTTGAGCTCCCGAGCTCAAGCAATCCTTCTACGTCAGCTTCCCTAGTAGCTGGGAGTATAGTGTGCACACCGCCTCATTGGACTCCACCCAGAACTTCTGACTTCAATCTTTGCAAATCAAATTATTCTTACAGCTTATGTTCTAAGCAAGCCTTCAAAGGAACACCATTGCATCTTTGCCTACTTTTGGATAGGGCTGTCTTCAACTAAATAATTTTTTAGGAAAACAAAGTTAGCTACCTTCTTCTTTATGTCATAGTAGGAAATACATTTAAACTCCTATGAGAATATTCTTGTTGCACGGCTTATAATGTCTATAATTTCTCCTAATTCTTCTATTAAAATGTTGCACATTCTTCTTTCTCACAAGGGGATTAAACTACCTTTCATAGAACTATTAGAATATATCTTTTTAGTACTGTGGAGCCAATTCACAATGCAACATATTGTTGTAATTTACCTCTCTTTATAATGTTATTGAAGTCAACTGGGAGGGTCAACAGCTGAAGAACAGACAATGAGATGTAAGACCTCATTAATTCTGATATGTGGAAGAAGCCAGTCTTATTCAGTGACATGGTCCAGGCATAAAAGGAGTCTCTGTGGTTTAGAGTCTTTATTATTTTAGATGTACACAATAGCTGGAATTCCCCTCCACTAAATCTGGACCAGCTACTAGTCTTTATAGTTAACCAACTTGTTACCTTTACTTGTTTACGAGATAGATTCATTAAGCACATTCTCTCAATCTAAGCCCATTCTAAATTAATTTTTTTCGCAACAAAGATACCAAGGATTTGGGGCCTAAACACACTCCACTATTTTCTTGGATAAGTTAAACAGAATCCCTTCCATATATCAATTCTAATAACTTTTTTGAAAATTCTTTCATTTCTAACAGAAAAGTTTAACTTAAGCCTGTCTTAGAGGGAAATGTTTTTTCAATGCCTAGAGTACAAATTGAAGCATTATATTTTTTCTTTAAGTGTTTCTTAAAATGACAGACTTTGGTGAAACCAACCACAATTAAAAAAAAAAAAACACTTCTCAGTTGACACATTTTGTTAATAGTGCCTAGAGTTTAGAAAAAAATAAGGGAGATTTACCCTTACTTTCTCACAAAGCAGTTGAATATTGTAAACTGATAGGTGCTTATAGCCAGGTCTATACTAAATAATAGAGGATCTTAAAAGAGAGCCATTTTAAGAACTTAAAACATTTGACTGAAAATCAAGAATGACATTTGAACCATTGTAGAAGGTCAGCATCATTCAAATAATTCAGAATTACCATGCCGAAAATTCTAAATGATTATAATTAGAATATCAGCAGGGCTCTAAAGGAGTGTTACCAATACTTAATTTAAAAAATAAAGCTACAACAAGTACCACAGCCTTGTTAGTAGCCTTCAATGTAACCCCTGTTTCTCTGTGATAGCCTGCAGAAGTCACCGTTACGACAATAGCCATCCTGTCATATTGGCTACATTACATTATAGCCAATAGTCATCTACGTAAGGCCCCTCAGGCCTCTTACATGCAGTAGTTCTCTTGGGAACATCATGAGTCCATAAATAAATCTTCAAATAAAATACCTGGAAATAGCTCAAAATCTGTCATGAAAGTGTCCCTGCCTTGCATTTGTCATCGACCTTTCTCAGAGAGGCCACGCTGAGTCTGCAGTGAGCTTCTCCATGTGGGGAACGAAGGTTGGGAGAAACTTGTGGAGGACAGGATCTTAATTTCCAAAAGCAGCATGATGGTTTGGGATATTTCGTACAGAATAGCTCAGGCCTGCCTCACTTCAGGAACTCTCCTAGGCTTTGTGAGGCCACCAACAAGAAAGGACACTGATGTGGCAGCAGAGCCAGACCCCAGGACATGGCCTCAGGCACTGTTGACACATCATTCTGAGGCATGCCACTTTAGAACTAATTAGAAGAGACCAGACACCAAAGGTCAAAGGTCAAAGGTGGGAAGAAAGAAAGCCTGGGACGGGGTCTGTTTGCACTCAGAGAGCTGTTACACCGTCAGCTAAACCATTCTCTGAATTTGGGTAGGATGCGTATAAATTACAAGAGGGAAAAGAGCGACATCGAGCTAAATCCTAGTGTTCATTCATATGCTAGAACACTGCTGCTGGTTTTAAGGAAAATAAGATTTACTATAGTCGGGAAGAAATGTATGCACGTGTTAATGGGAAGCCACTGAGCACGTGACTTTGATTAGTGTCCTTTTCAAAGCTGGGAGACGTGGTAGGCATCTTTATTCCACTTCACTAGAAGAAGGGGACTTCCACTTTGCATTTACTATATCAGATTGGAAAGAAAAGCTGGGTTTGCACTATGGGAGGTCACGGCAGGACACGTAAATGTCCACTGATGATCTGTGATAGCAACTTGTAACTATCATGCAAGGAAGCTTTGCTTTCTAACTGGGCAGGGTGGAGCTGGGTGCGGGGGGGGGGCATTGAGCATGTAACTTTCAGCTCCACTGAAATAGTTTTATCTGGAGTAGAAAGTAGTAGGGTCGAACTGAACCAAATATATGAATCCTTTGTCATTTATCAGAAGAAAGGTGACAATAGACGCTGAAGAATTAACACAGTAAGATCCACCTGCAAGCCTAAGATCTTTTTAAATAAAACACAAACCGAGAAGCTCCACATAAACTGTGATAGGCAGAAGGTTGGCCAATATCTTCATACTTTTATATCTGACCATTCATCAGACAGACTACAGAGTGATTCTTACTGTGCCAATCACAGATACCAAGGTGAATGAAGCACATTTACTCCAAACCTAATGGCTGACTAGCCTCTGGCAGACAGCTAGAGTAATCCCTATGCATTCTCTGTGTCAAAGCTGCATCCACTGGTGTTACATCCTCACACACCAATTGACTGTCCCTCCTGGGAGACACAATTAGTCGCAGCCCAAAGCCCAGCACCCTGGACTGAACTGAAATAGTGCACTGGGGCATACTCACCAGCCTCTCGGGTTGCATTTCGGCTTGTTGGCTTAGGTGGAGGGACGGGGACCTGCTTACCAGAAGCCTTGGCATTTTTTTTACTGGGAGGCACTTCATCACCTTTGTGGCTGGCCCCAGCAGTGGCCCCTTTGGGAGGCACAGGTGACTTTTTGGGTTTAGGTTTAGGTTTAGGCTTAGGAGGAGCTGAAGGAGGTAGAGCAGGAGCTGCCGGTGTTTCAGAGTGGATTTCAGTGTTCTCTACAAATGAGAAAGTGAACAGAGCAGACTGATACAGACACACACCATATAAATACTAGGAGCATGGCGACAGTGATACACAGACATGGCTGCTTGGCCCTTGGGAACCAGATGAGTTCTGCACCAGAGAGCACAAAGTCTGGTAAAAGAAACCCAAACTGAAAGGCTGAAAGATACACCCAGTTGTGTTCTCTGGGTACATTAATCATTCCTTTGATAAAACTGGTGGCACAAGCCATGATCAAATTATATTTGAGATGAATGTAAATGCCCACAAGTCAGGGGCCTTGATTCCAGCCTCAAATCTGTGGTTGCTGCATGATGACATGGGCATCGAGTGCTAAGTTTAACAAAATTAACAATTTAGCAAAATTGAAGGACCCTTAAGAGTGACAGATGTGTACATCACACATACTGCCGTGGGGGTGAGGACTGACAGTGAATGGATTTACAGTTACCTTCACAAACTCAAGCCTGACTAACCTGAAAGGGATTTGTGCTCAGTCTCTATGTGGTCAAATATCAATTGTGTTCAAAACTGCTAGAGACGCTGGAGAACCTGTGACTCAAGAGACATTGGACAATGAATTGCTTTTTACTATGAATTACTATGAATGTCATCTCCAGGTCTCCACATACCAGGGCAGTTTCCTATTCTACAACTTTCTCTGTCCTTTTGCAGCAGTGCCACAACTATATTTTGGATGCAGAATCCAAAATATATTAACATCGTTTTATCATGTAAACATACAACATGATTTTGAAAAGGCAAAGGCTATAATTCATAGGAAAAAAATTACAAGTAGAAATGTCTCCCCAAGGATTTGTGTAAGTGGAGGAGAAACAGTACTGCATTAGTCTCTTGTTACTGAAAGTGAGGAGGCTGAACACTCATTCATGCATTCACATGTGTATTTCCCTAATAAGGACTAATTGAAATGAAATAAATAATGGATCTGGTCCAAAGAGCTAAGCAGCATTTCTTTTAAAATGGAGCACAATAAAAAGACACAAGACAGCATTGAAACAAGACTATGTTTCTGTTGGATATGTCTTCCCAGTTCTACATGACCAAGAAAGGGTATCGATTTTGCCATGTATCACACCTTACTATCATCTCTTTTGTTTTGCTTTTCTAGTTAGTGCCAGGCAAGGACTGCCCCTTCTAAAGTCACATCTTCCATCAAGCCACATATGTACACTACATACATGTATAATATGTATGATAATGATTTCAATTACAGAAGTTAATCAATAAAGACTTTCTTTTCTCTTTTTTGGTGAAATTGGGGTTTAAACTAGGAGCTTTGTGCTTGCTAGGCAAGTTCTCTTCCACTTGAACCTTGCCTACAACCCTTTTTGCTTTAGGTTATTTTTCAGATAAGGTCTTGCTTTTTGTGTGTGTGTGGGGGGGGAAACTGGAATAGAAGGACTGCAATCCTCCTACCTCTGCCTCAGGCATAGTTGAGATTAGAGCTGTGAGCCATCACACCTGGCTTGTTCCTTTGAGATGGGGTCTCACTAACTTTCTGCTTGGGCTGACCTGAAATTGCAGGAGTAGCTGGGATTCAGGCATGAACCATTGTGCTGGTTAAAATCTTTCTTTCAACATTTCTCTTTTATCTTGCCTCAGCCTTGCCCCTCCCCCATTTCTGCAGTTCAAGTTGACTTCTTCTGCCTCTGTACTAGTTCTGTTCTATTGCATGAGTCACTTACTCAGCATTTATCACAGGTCACTTGTATTTTAGTCTTTCTGTTTACAAACCTTCTGTCTCAGCTCAGTTGCTTCTCATTTATAGCACAGCAGTACTCCCAACTCACCTGGTCTGAGCCAGGGCCAGCTACTCACAAAAGTCCATTAGGACTGAGAATGAGCCAAGTTGGTACACAGATAAAACATGAAAAAATTTTGAGGCAGGATCTCATTTATGTAGCCTAGATTGGTCTCCAACTCATGATCCTCCTACCTCAGCTTTCCTAGGACTGGAATTACAGGTATGAGCCACCATGACTGGCTTAAGACATTTAATTTTAACATAAAATGAAAAATATACATTGACTTGCCAGTCTTTTCATTTAGGGAAGAAGTCTATTCTTTCACTACAGCTCTAATTTTAACCTTGCACAATACCACACACGGAGACCAGGCTCAATAATGTCTATGGGGAGACCAAAGTGATCTGTAGCCCACGCTAACTTATTCTCCTTCATACTCCAAGCAATACACTTCTCTCCCTTTCCCTTCACAGCACACCACTAAGGGATCTTCCTCTTCCTGCTTAAAGTTTTAAATTCTACCCCAAAGGTGGGCTGGGGATATAGGTCAGTGGTAGAGCATGTGTTTTTAGCACACGTGGGGCCTTGGGTTCAACTCCCTGCACCACAAATAACATAAAATAATACTCCAAAGAATCCGGCCTCTAGGTTTGGGAGGGGAGAACTCTGTAACAGCTCTGTAACAGCTGGGAACTCCAATCCCCACTGGGGAGAAATGGACATAATGCACACAAACTTTTCTGGCTGCTTGGAAAGCACAGGTCCTGCTCTTTTGCCCTTCCAACTCTACCAGTTATCTATGAGTGTCTGTCAATTGTGTGTGTGTGTTGTGGGTGGTGTGCGTGCATGCATATATAGTGTTTTTCTGACTAAATTAAAAGTACTGGCTGAAATTTATTTATTATATATTTATTTACTTTTCAGACAGGATCTCTCTATGTAGCCCAGGCTGGCCTCAAACTCATAATTCTCCTGTCTCAGCCTCCCAAGTGCTGGGGTCAGAGGCACAAGCCACTGCCACACTTAGCTGCTTGAAATCTTATCCCATTAAATACAATCGTCCTAAAGTAATGCCTATTGAATGAATGTAACTGACTGGCCAATAGCTATTGATACACAATCGGTAGAAGAAAGATTCTTTACTTATATGTGGGAGTACTTACTTGTGTTTTTTACTAATACCGTGTGTCTATAGACATGGTGTAAACTGATAGAATAAAGGAGTACTATCCTTTCAAAAGGAGGTTAAGGAGCTGCCTGTTCATTTTGGCTTCATAAGGACCCAAGGTTTCACAACAACACAGTCTGGAAAATGAGCTGTCTATTTCCAGGCTTGGCTCCTTCCTCCCAATCATGGGCAGAGTTCACCAATACTGAGAATCAAGCCTTTGAATTCAAGAGTTCTGCATCTGGCCCAGAATACATTTCTGCCCCATTCCTTTCCTCCACCCAACTCCCCCTCATCTCCTTCAGGTCTCGGTTTGGAAAGATCTGGTCAGAGAAACAACCTTGGTCTCCATTGTGAACTATCTGGGCTTGGGGTGCCCCCAACTTCCACTGAGCTTCCTGTGTTGCACTTCAACCACCTGTGTGCAGTCTGTCACCTCTGAGGCCGTGGTCTGCTTTCATTCTGTGCTCTTTTTCTGTTCCCCACTAGAGTCTTTCCCACGGTAGACCTTTGTAAGTGTTCATCACTGTTACTTCATTGATAGACCTTTACGCTAACTCAATAGAAATAATGTCAAACAATTTTCAGATTTCTTGTATTTAATACTCTGCTATATTTAACAGATTGCAGATGAGTTTTTTCCTGCTCATATATTAAGGGCATTTGTTGAGAAAGAAGGATGAGTACTAAAATTTTTGAAGACTTTTGTTCCTTAAAGAACAAGTCTCCAGTGTTAGCAGAGGAGGCCCAAGACTCCTGTACTAACTATGAACTCAGGTGCCTTCAGGAGCCCCAGAAGTACCCACATGGACTGGGTAGAACCTGCCCACAGAGCAAGAGTGAAGGATATCTCCTGGCATCTGTTTTCATTGATACTGATATTTTGCATATTTAAGTATTGAGATACTATCTTACAAGGAGATATAATAAGCATCTTGGATTTTAAAGGTGTGTGATGTGGTTTTGCAAATATAGCCAATTAATGGACGAAATAACAGTCTCGAGTGAGCTGGCTTTACACAGGAATGGCGAGTGAAGATCCTGGGGCAGGGGTTTGCATGGTACTGAGTTCACACAAGGAGTGGAACCGGAAGAGGAAGAGAAGCAAAAGCGAATCAGGATAGCTTTCAAAATGAAATGGAATCTTTGTAGAGAAATAAACTATTATATTTAGTCACAAGGCATTTTCTATTAACAAAATCCTCTGTACTATTACTTATGAATGACATTCTTTTTAGACTCAAGAAGTAGCTTCCAAAACTAACATTTCTGTTATTGGCATGGCTCCATGTGAGCTCCATCCATACAATGTGAGGAAGCAACCTGGCCTTGTTAGTGGTGTGCCAACACTTCCGGTGTTTCATCTCCTTACCTACTGGCTAGGTGAGGAAGGTGCTAACCTGGACCTTACTTAACTGCTAGAAAGAAAGAACTGAATGTACTAATCAGCCAATAAGGTCTGATGTCTTCTTTTTAGAACATTAAGACCTGCCGGTTTAACTAACATAAACCTATCAGCAACTTTTTATTAGGTTGATAAAGGAAACACTTCTTTTGAAGTCTGGCCAGTCAGTGAGTGACAATGACATCCACACAGGACCAGGGACAAGCCACAGATGGAGTTGAACTTTTACAGTTTGTTGAGATATGACCGTTGGACTTAAAAAACAAAACACAAAAAACATCACTGCTTGGATTAATTCTTTTAACTAAATCCCTTTAAAATTTAAGTCTACTTTCTGTTTATGCCCCAGAAATATTATCATTAGAAGTTTGAGTTCATTTCTCATAACCAGCTTTCATAAGCTTCTCTAGAGTTCTTCAGTGGGAAGAGGCTAAGGAAAGCCCCATGAACAATATGCTTAATATTTGAAGAAAACAAAATGATAACTTTCCCACAGAACATTAACATGGGGTTCCAAAGTTGTGCAAAGTTAATTTATATGCTTTGGACTTTCCAAAGAAGATTATTTTGTTACCAGGTGTGTTTAATAAAGCTACCAAAAGCCCTTCATCTTCAGAGGATTTAGGTGAAGAACAGCAGTCACTAGGCCCTCGAGGCTTGGTAGTTCTAGCATGTAATAGCAGTGGTAAGAAGCTGTAATCCTTCCATGACCAGGAATTCATGAACGTTCTGGACGACATGAACTTGACAGACTTGCATTTTGCAGGTATCTGAATCTATCATAAAATATCCACTCTGGAGACCAAGTTCTCTAAAGAAGTCTTCGGGAAACAGCATAATTGCTTCCGGGATATTTTGAAATTTCTAATTGCACAGACAAATCATGAAGCAGAGGCTGTGGCAGTCTAATTGTGGTATCTCTGAGAACTAGTCCTGGGTCTCTCTTAGAAATGTCTAGAACCTATTGGGTGAGCAGATACCAATAGCTAAGTCCCACTCCTAGAAAGGGAGTCAGGCTAAGAGAGCCATGTGAGCCAGTTGGAACCAGGGGCCAGTTGGAACCATCTGAGAAAGATGTTCAGATTTCTCATGCTTTTTAAAAAAAAGGTCTTAAGAAAAAGCCCCTAAGAAAAACAGAATAGTCACAGACATCTCTAATACTTGAGAGTCCACTCTTTCTAATTATTATCTTTAATTAATTCTCTTTAATAATAAAAAAAGCAAATATTGTGCTTATAAAATGGATGCATCCACTTGAGGAACACACCCTGTTTCTTGTCCCTAGTTGCATTTCTTCCTTCTTTGCATTAGCAAATCTCCTCTGTAGACAACATGTTTTATAGTCACTATTTGGAGTTTAAGACCCAGTTTTTGACATTGAGCTATACTAAAGGAAATAATATGGGTTTCTCTTTATGTTACCTTTCTTATCTTCTGCCTTTTCCTCCCGAGGTGGTGTTCTCTCAGATACAGAGCCTTGACCTTCTTCAGGCCTCCCTACATTCTCCTCTTGGGTAGAGTCCTCTCCGATGGGTATCATGTGCCCGTTTGAATTTTCAAAGTTAACTGTTACATCTCCATCTAAAATGGGAAAGAAACACCTAGATGTCTAACTTGATGGCTTAAAAACCAGTTTCCCAGTTACGAGGACTGTTGGGCCTAGGTTTTTGTTTCTGTCCCTGGGAACCAAATTACCATGTTTTACCAAACAATGACTTTAAAACAAAAAAGCTAGAAAATCTTTAGTTTTGAAGGAAAGCAGAATGGAGGGCAAATCCACGTGCCATGTCTAGATAGTAGGAATGACTGTTTAGATTATACAATACCCCAGGGCAGCACGGTACCTCTGCTCTTGTGCTTAGGTTTGGTTGAAGTCAATATTTATGTGTTTTGTTGTCATCCAGAAACGGAAATGGTACAAAGAATCATCTGAGAAATGGAATAAACATTGTAACATGTACCCAAAACACAAGGTGAATGCAAATATACAAAGACCATGAGATGTAATTACACATATAAACAAAGTGTGGGAGAACAGGAAAATTTCCAAGCACCACTTTCTGCAGAGTACATTTTATACATGGTATGTTAACTTTATATAGTGATAACTGCTACTCTGTGTTTAGGGAAAAGAATGTAGCAAGGCTATTTTTTTCTCATTTTTTTATTTATGGAAAGATTAAAATGTATCAAATAATAATTAGAAAATACTTAAGGGAAAACATACATAAGAAACATAATTACAGAGGAATTTTTGAAAATCACAGCTAAAAAGAAAATCTAATGCCATCTAAATCATAGAAAACTAATTTTAACCCCTGAATGTTCATAAATCCAAGGACTTCTAACATGAAAGACACTGTGTAGTTACACTTGAAAAGATTACTCCTAGTTCATACATGGAAACAGTTACATGGCTCTGCCACCATTATAGAAAATATTAAAGATTGAAGTTTGGATTTAACAAATGAAGAAAGGCATAACTAAGTTGTTTCTTAAGCAATTTTTGATAAATTTGTAAAACAGAAATGGCAATCATAAAACAGAAACCATTTCCCAAATTTTCACTGCATTGATTAATAAAATTCATTGGCCATCTTTACAAATCCAGGCATGACATTTTAATAAGTAAAATAAATATGGAATTATATCATGCTCAAAACTCAGAAGGAATTGTCACTTAATCATATAACTCCTAAAACCCTATAATCTGATTCTTACATAAAACTATAATAGACAGTAATGAAAGGCAATGTCATTGTAAGTAAATCAGAACTATTTCAATAAAATTAAGGTAAGAATTATTGAATCTCAAGCAATTAGTTATAAAAAAGGGGGTACAGATAAAATAAAAATGATGTAAGAATGGATAATGCAAAGTAAAATAGAAAACCATTTCTTTGTATAAGTCTTCGGTTTTTAGGTAACTTAGAAAATTATGTTTCCTTTGACTTTAGTTGGTAGCAAATACGTGTCAAGTCCTGTTAATGTCAATTTAATTCTATTTTAAGTAGTTATTAAAATTATTTAGCACATTAAATAACTGATTTTTAAAAAAATTTAGAACAAAAAAAATCTAAAGAAAAATTAAATAATGTCACAAGGAGAAATTGGATTCTTAACATGATAGAAATAGTTAACAGCATGGGAATATACTTACTCTGAAGCTTGAAATAAAACTAGCGCAAATAAAAGAGGTACAAGGGATGGAGTTCAAGGAGGAACAGCTAGAAGATGAAAATCATGCATGACTAAAAAGGAAGTGACTCATTAAAAGGGAAAAACTACACAGGGGAGAAGAAAGGAGGATGGCAAACAAGCTAAGGCACCTGCATACCCTTGTATTAAAGCTCCAAGAAAAGATGGAAGGAAAGAAGCAGAGATAAGTTCTGAACTTGGACAGGACCATTGGTGGACTACTCAGGAGAGGAGATTGAATGCTGACCTTTTAAATTGAAGTTAGGACTTGCTGTGAAAAGACAACTTAAAAGGAATAATAATAGTAGCTGGGAGTGAGGGTCTGGGACAGGATGGTTTGAGGTCAAAACATGGCAGCTAAAATGATTTAAAAAGTCTACTTGGCCCACAGAAGAAAGGGTGCAATTGACAAGCACTGTCGAGAGCTACCCAAAGGTCAAGAAGATGAAGGCCAAGAACAAATCTTCACCGGCAGAGACAGAGGAGGCTGTCACCAAAAGCGGCAGCTTCCAGTCTCTTGGACTGAAATTCTCAAGATAATTGTTTTTGGGAAAATGACAGAAAACCAATTTTGTTCAGCTCTTGGCTGAAAAGGAAAAGGATTCAATGTACAACAGTCATCCTTGGGCACTTTCAACCATTAGGTGACTTTTATAGTTTATACGGGGACCACCAAAAAAGGTGGAAAGTAAAATTCAGTAGGTTAGGACTTTCCAAACACTAAACTTAGTGCATTATGGGTAGGTTCTTTTATGTTTTAATACTGCTAATGTTCAGCTGCAAAAGGTAAACAAAAAGGTCAAATAGAGTCATATTTCTGGGAAATAAGTATACACTGGCCTCAGAAATTATAGCCCAGGATACAATTAGTTTAACAGATTAGGCAGAATAAAAACCAAGTAGTACTAAAAATTTCTTTAAATTGACAATTTCTTTAAATTATTGTCTTTAGAAAAAGTAAAATCTTTTTCTATCTACAACTTTTAATTTAATTATTTACTTTGGTGCTGGGGATTGAACGCAGGGTCTGTGCATGCTGGGCAAGCACTCTATCCTATAGCTACAGCTTCAGCCCACGGCTTTTTGAGATAGGGTTGGTCTTGAACTTGCTATGTAGTCAAAGCTGGCTCTGAACTCAGGATCCTCCTCCTCTTTCTCCTGGGATTACAAGCATACATCATCCAGCTCCTTATGATTTTTGAAGCAGGAGTAAAACAGTAAAGTATTTCCCAGTTCCATTTTGGGATTATTCGGATGTTAGAAAAAGCATGTCATTTTGACTTATAAACAGTGAATGCCAAAAAATGTTGAGTTCTTTGCAATGAACATATATTAAGAAAAGAGAAGTACTACTATTTTAATTCTAAATTAGTAGCATTTTATTTGTTTTGCATAAAAGTTCAACAATAATATTTTATCCCAATAAATTTTGGAGGAAAGAGTAGGCATGCGGAAAATCAACAATGCTGCAGAAAAATGTTTTTAGTTTTAATATTAGTGGGAGCAAAGAAAATCATTCTATGTTACTTATTGGAGAAATAACGAATATTGCTGTCTTCTTTTGAGGGTCAATTTCAGTTTCTATCTAATCCTTGTCTTTTCTGAGTGAGATTCTTCCTTGGGAATACAGAGAGAAAGGGCAGAAGACTAGAGTAGAAACAAAAACAAAAACAACAACAACAAAAACCTTGAATAAGTGACAAGGTAAAAGGCAACTAGATTTGGAGAAATGAAAAGGGAACAAAATGGGAAAAGTTACTTGAGAGAAAGCATAAGTCAAATTAATCTGCCCATTCACACTGAATTGATTGTACACTTGAGTGCATTAAAAGTGAAAAGGGCAAGAGGTACATTTGCCATTTCTTTGGCAATCTTAAGAAACAAAAAAGTGTGAATAAGCTAAAACTTTATGTTTTCGTTAACAAGTGAGTTTTATTTAAATGGAAAGATTGAAGCTGGAGGACACAGAAGAGAAAGAGCCATGCAAGCATTTGTATTTTATCTGTATCTCTAGCTACCCATGTACCTGGGTAGAGTTCTGTGTGCAGAGTGACCTATGGCAAAGGATTCACCAGAAAAGCCACTGGAGTTCTTTTCTACACTACCGCAGATTCTCTACCACCCACAAAGACATTCCAAATGGAAGTAAGATTCTTAGAGTACACAACTCATTGCAAAGACTGAATTTCAAAAGAAAATGAAAGAAAGATCAAAGAAGGAAGGATTGAATTATTTTAAATGCATGATTAATTTCCTCACCTTGATCAGGCAATTCCTTAAGCACGCCCCTTCTTATCAGCTCCTCTCTACTTTGTCTTGTGGATATCTTCCTCTCTAATACTTTTAAAGAGAATAAGCACAAGTAAGAATCAAGACATTCCTTCAAATAATTACAAACAACATTCCAAGTAGAATTGCACACATTCACTCTGTTCACATGAAGTTTCAAAGCCCAGCATTTCGTAGCCTAGGAAAATCCGAGATTAGATTCAAGGGCAAATGACTGTTGTCCATGATTTGAAGTCCAGCTACCATTGTTGGTCTTTCAAATGATAATCTTCAGCCAAGAATTCAGACATATTACTCCATACCACCTATAAAATATAGAGGTCATGCCTGACTTTGTAATAGTCTTCTTTAGTAATGATGTATTATAAAACACAATCTGACAAATATGTTTACAGTATTATATGCAGTGTATGCAGAGGCTGGTGGAGTGGCTCAAGTGGGAGAGTGCCTGCCTAACAAATGCACGGCCCTGAGTTCAACCCCCCAGTACTACCAACTCCCATCCCAAATCCAAAAACCAGCCCACATACTTCCAGTGACTCTTTCATCTGTATCCAGATGAGAAGGGATTACTTTTCTAGTGTTTTTTTCTCTCATGGCATCTGGTACAGAAGTTCAGCACATCAGATCTTTGATCTTCATACTCACACATTCTAGAGGGTTCTGGAATATCCCTGACAAGTCTCAAGTCTTAGGAGGATGAAAGGGAGTTAAGAATGGGCAGTTTTCCCAAGTTTATCAGGGGATAGGAATCTCACTCTGATTCTTCCTTCTTCTGGAAGAAATCTATATTTCTGGTTTAAGTGCAGAATGGAGCTTAGGAGCTTAGGTGTAGGACCTCAGTAGTATTCACTTTGTATGTGGGTAATTTTAGACCCTGAACCCTACATGTCTGAGGAACCACTAGCTCTATTCCCCGCTCCTGGGGGACAAGAAAGTATGTAAATTTAACACATGTCATCTATTAATCCTTTGATTTGACCTGCTCCAAAGTGTGTTTTGCAGAACTTTATTCTCTCCAAATGCTCTGTTCAAAAACTCTGTTGAAATAGTGGGAAAGGGCACATCAAGGAGAGAGAAAAAGGTACATTGGTGGAGCCTGGGCAGCCACAGCAGGCCTGGATTTCTGATCCTCCCTACCATGCTTCTCCCCCCTCACAGACTGCAAATCCAGAGCTAGTCTGGACATCACCATCTTAACTATACTGAGGCTAAATGAGATCCCATTACCCCAAGCCAGGTCTGGACTCACACTGAGGTTCCTCTGCTCCAGGTGAATCAAGGCCATGGGAAGGAGAGGGGATAGAGAAAGTGTGCCTTGGTATCAAGTTTGGTATTAAGCTTGGTGTTAAGTCTTCCCTAAGTGTTTACTAATGGCATGAGCCACAAAATAGCAGCACTTAGTCTCTCTTGAAGAAACTGATTTTCTTCCTTTCTGGTAACTAGGAATTTTGTGTATGTATGTTAGCCCTGGTTGCTAGAAAAGATGGAGTGGTACCTGAAGCCAATAAAATTATAGTTAATATACTACCTCCAGAGTTGTGAGAAATAGATGTTTAAAAAAAGAAGAGTCAGAGTGAACCGATATTTAACAGACTTCACACAATTCATGCTTTCTCCTAGGCAACCTGACTTCACTTATATTTTATGGAGAATAAATATGCTCTTTATTGAAAGTTCTGTCTAACATATTTTGGATAGAATTAGGATATAAACAAACAAGAAAATGAATGAATGCTTAAAAGAATGACAATGTGCCTCAGTGGAGGCACAGCACAGAGGCCTCTCCCCCTCCCTTTGGTTACTCACTCTCTCTGCTCTCTACCTGTCCTTCCAGAAACCCACAGCTCAGTTATAGGCTGGTGATCTCAATGGACAAAGTTAACTGGGTATGGGGGCAAGAGTTCTTCCATGGGAGTTCTCTTATATAAAACATGCTGTTCAAATGAAGTTTCAGTTTGTTCAGACATTTGCCCAAGAGGAGAGAACATGTATCCACATAGGAAACTAAGCAGTGGCAATCCAAATGACAGATGGAACATTGCTGAGATATAGCAGGTGCTTCAGAAGGGCTCTGGCCACTGCTGCCTCACAGAGATTGTCCAAAGCCTCTCAGACTTGACTGGGCCCTGAAGGACAGCAGGGTCTATAGACTTTTGCAACAGGTGTCTTGGCCTCCATGCTTGGGATGGGTGCAGAGACTCCCTTTGGACTGCTCTGCCCTAAGCTTGAGGTCAAGGGTGGCAATGCAAGAGCAAGCACAGTTGGTCCCAGGGGTCAGTGGCATTCTGGCAACCCAAACACACCACCAATTAAAAATGCAGTCACTCTGGATGTCTTTATTATTGTCTTTGCTTTGCTCATATGCAACAGAACTCGTCATTGTTTGTGGCTTCTATAAAATACAACATGGTGGTTAGGAGCCCTGGATGTTGGTTCCAGAACTCCTGCAACAAGTTGGGTGACCCTGGGTGGTCAACCCAAGTTTCTGGGCCTCTAATCTGTGAAATGAGCGACAAGATACAGTGATCACTAAAAACAACTTTGACCAGTTCAAATATTGCGTGATCCTGTGTCGTGAATAAAAGCTGTTCTGAAGTCTCTGCTTCGGGAACCTCTAAATTCTTTCATTCTTGTACTAAAACCCATCTGAGAGCCTGGGACATATCCCATACCCCCAGAGCATTCATCAGTTTGAGTTTTGAATTCTCTGTTGCTTTCATTCTAACTTAATCTCAGCTAAAAATTCCTCCTCTTTCTTCCTTGTAAACTAAAAATTCTTCCTTAAAAACTCCAGAGCTTTGAAGCAGCAGCACTGGCTTCCTGCCAGCCATCAAAAGCAACAGCCTTGTTGTTTTGCTCTACCTCCTATAAATGGGCCCTGATAGGAAAATGCCATTGGTGATTTGTTTGGTCTTTGGCTGAGAGCATTTTTAACACATAATGCAGATAACTGTGTACAGAGCCAATAAGAGCAAACTGCAGGCCGCTGAGCATGGAAGGTATGTTGCTGGGCACAAAATTTCAACTCCGGCTCTCACTGAAGTACAAGTATCTCATTCTTCACCTTTTAAAATATTTGCCTCATGTTTATACAGTGTCTGTGTGTTTGTGGAGCACATTCACTGGACGCTTTTTCATGGGCTCGGAGGGCTTTTGCACTGGAATGAATCTCAGAGGTCATTCTAGTTCAACATACCTCACAAGGCAGGAGGATCTCAAACATTCCCTGAAGCATACTCACTTGCTTTCAAACCAAGGATGCTAGCTTGCTTATACGGCCCACCTCAGTTATGGATCAGCCTCACTTTTGGGGAGGTATTCCTCATGAGGTTTCCAAATTTCATTCCCTGAGACTTCTGCACATGAATTAAACCTCAGTTGTATATAGCTCTAGATTACAGGAAGCAGTTTGCATGTAGAAAGAAGCAGGAGTCCCCTCTGTGTGTATCCTGGGAATAAAGTGAGTTATGGAAGCCTCCTAGGTTCTGGCCCCAGGCATCCTACCAGCTGATCTCATTTTGAAGCTCATAGCACTCCATATAATAACCTTAAAATATGGGGGGAACCTCACACCCACAGCATGACCAAAATATTGCCAGGGAGAATACTAGTGGAGTGCAGACCATTGGATGCAGTAGCTAGGTCTCTTCATGACAGGTTTTGCCACCAGTCAAGTAAACAAATGGCTCGTGGTTATTCTCTTTGGTCCCAATTGAAAAAAACAGATCAAGCAAAACCATGTTTTCCATTTCTGCATTGGGTAGATTAATGTTTTGACATTTCAATCCTGATTATAACAGCACAAAATCTAAACCTAAGTATAGGAAGCCTATACCTGGTGTTCCTGACTTCATGCTTATACACTGATTTTTCAAGTATTTCAAAAGGATTAATCTTTCAAAAACTTCCAATGGCTGCACCTCCCATTTTGAATAGTATTTCACCTCCTCCGCATGGATCTCTCTGGTGCACCGCCCTCCCCACCATGATCCTTCTCTCACCTACCTGTCTTCCATCTATTCTCCAGCCTTTCTAGTCCCTGCTGCTTCTTGCCTGAGGGATGTCCCTAAATAGTGGCTCCTGTGTTTACGAGGATGCCACTGTGGCTCACTCTATCATGTCCTTCAGACTCTGCTTAAAGGTCACCTCATCAGAAATCCCTTCCATGCACATGTGATATAGACTAGCGTGCTCTCCTCATTTTGATCCATCTTTCCCTGTGAGACATGTCATCACCTCCTAACATGTGTAATTTTAATGAGAATCAAAACACCGTTTTGCTTATGCTGTGTCCCCAATGGTGACTTATAGGTTACCGTCACTCAAAATACATGTGCATATGTTGAATAAATGTAAAAAAGAAAACAGACTAGTAATTACAATGGTCTCATTTTCTGCCGGTTCCCAGCCTTCAATTTAGGAGAAAGCAAGTAAGGTTTGTGGCAAAGTCTTAAGGGACAAGGGCTTTCTGTCTTCTCCCTCCTTTACTCTTTGGTTGGGCCAATCTAAGGGAAAATTGTCAGCTTTCGGTCCTATGGATCGTCTGAAAAAGGCTCTGTATGCACAGAAGAAGGGAGCCCATAGTGTGTGGAGGGCAGACACCAACAGCTAGCAGGGTGTAGTACACGACTGGTTGGGCTCTTCATAAATTGTAAATGATTTATGATGTCCTTCTGGACATGGTGCGGCAGCCGTGGAGCCCATATTCAGAAGAGGCTGGGGCATAGGCCACTAGCTCCTTTCAATGGATACTTGGCCTGGATTTCATAGTACTCTGGAAGTATCTGTGAGAGTAAATCTTGTAGTCAACAAGTCACTTGTGTTTTCATTTGGCGAGGAAAGAGAGTCCTAATTCTCAATTCTCACACCATTTAATGACTGAACAAAATAGAAGAGTCAACAGAAGACTATTAAATAAGCATGTCTTGTTATCTTCTTGGTTTCAAGTAGTGAATGGCCTTACTGTAAAACTGTGACAGAAGCACAGAAAACTACTTGTCCTGTGTTGGAAGTGTTCTATAAGAGCTGGCTTGGCTTTACTCCTCTTC